TATCTTATACGATCGTAAGCTCTTTCTCGAATGAAAATATTCAAAAACGATAAAAAGTCACAGTTATTTTAAATTTTAAATTACTCGCACTTATATGCAATCAAGAGTGTAAAAAACACTGTTAGAGTGCATATACCTGTAAATATTACGAAGAGAGAAATAAAAAGCTGAAATATTTACAAGCTGTATGTGTTATGCGGTATGTGTCATGCTGTATGTGTCATGGTGTATGTGTCATTCGTGTATAAAGTCACTTTGACTCAACAAACTGCATTTTATCTGGGAATAAACATATTTCCCTATTTACCTGGAAAATTATTGTCTTATTTGTCTTTGTGTAGCCTTTTATTATTGTCGAATATAGAAGAGAAAGTTCACACTCGTATGAAAAACAAAGAGTTTTTTCCCATTTTGCCTCTAAAAAACACGTCTATTTTACTCAATAAGTTTTCATTTTGTATATATTCATAATATGAGTGCAGCATATACGACAAGTATAGTATATTCTTTTAGGTTTGTATGGTCTAGTGAAACGTAATGATCTTGACTTCTTGAATTTTTCCAATAAGATCTTGAATCAAAATCTTAGTGAGAAAACGTAAGAATTTCAAGAACTCAAGATCTTGATATTTCTTGCCTTCTGGTACTAAGATGTTGGGTGAGTGAAGCTAGTCCTCAATGTCTCGACAATTCTTCGAATCACCGTTTTGTTTTACACTCTTGATTGCATATAAGTGCGAGTAATTTAAAATTTAAAATAACTGTGACTTTTTATCGTTTTTGAATATTTTCATTCGAGAAAGAGCTTACGATCGTATAAGATAGTATGCCTGATGGTTATCATATACACGAAGAAAATGTAAGAAAAGCTTTTCACTCAAGATCTTAAAACATCTCGATTTACTTCACTCAAAATCATGAGTGCAAGGTTCAAGAATCTAAGATCTTGACTTCTGGTTTTTTTTCCAATATCTTGGGCATTTCTGAACCCAAGATTTTGGGTTTAAAAAGTTTTACTAGGATGGTTACTTTAAAAATGCTTAGATTTTATGAAAGAGTAACATTTGATACGAATGAATAGAATATGGCTCAAGGTTGAGGAAGCGCTATAGTCCTATTTATTACACTATATTTTCCCATCTAGAGTTAAAACGTTCTCATCATTTTTTTAAACTGATGTAACAAATTCATTATTACAAATTCGGTAATCAATCACAGGTTAAGCTAGAGAGAATTCATAAGTTATACAACAGCTTTTTGATTGGGTAAAGCTTACGAAACGAATAGTCTGTCGTGAACTGTAAAGCTATAGTGTAGTAACTTTTAGCTCTATCCCTTTCTGAAACTGTCGAAAATTTGACAAGGAGTGCCTCTTTTTATACTGGAATCCGTTCCCACTAATAGCTGAAGGAAAATGTAATATTACTTTCTCAAAAAATGCATTTCGCTTCAATGAAACCTTGGATGGTATTTTTTATTTTGTTCACCTATTCTAGCAATAAAATCCGACGATAGCATGTCTTCTAAAAGTTTATATTATATGCATATGATTATAACTTCATCACAAATTTTTTTTATTTTGAGATCTTTGCAAAAGTTAGCACATTTAATAGTCCATAAAACAAAAACAAGAAATCATTGTTGATATTTATGCAAAATTCATTCAGTGATTTGTTCAATTTTTGTTAGATGATAACTAGCCATATCCCACATTAAGTCACGTAATAAATTAAGTACGGCGGCAACACCTTTATTTCATGCTAAACCATACAAAATAGGACGACCAATTAGAACACCTTTAGCACCCAAAGCCAAGCATTTTAAAATATCTGTTCCCGTTCGTATACCACTGTCGATAAATATTTCACAACGACCATTAACAAAATCTACAATATCTTTCAAACATTCAATAGCTGGTAATCCTGTATCCACTTGTCGACCACCATGATTACTTAAAAAAAAGGTTTAGTTAGTCATGAGACATAAAAAAAGAAATTCAAACTTATCCGACAACAATTCCATTCGCACCACATTCTAAAGCTAATTTTGCATCGTCAACTGTTAAAATTCCTTTACAAACTACTGGCATGTTTGTTAATGCTCTTAACCATTGAAATTTCTTCCACGTTAAATTTTCATCTGGTGTACGTTCATCTAATATTTGATTATCTTTTAATAGTTTACTCCCGTCATGAGGCGTTACCAATAATTCCTCTAAAATTTTATCTTGTTTACGATCAACAGCTTGAATAAACGTTGGTCGATAAATTGATCGAATTCGATCACATGTAACAACAATAGCTTTAAATGAATTTTGCTCAGCTAAGAATATACATTGCTCAAGCATTTGTTTTGGGGATGATAAATAAACATGTAACCATTTGGGACCTTTTAGAAGGATACAAAGAATAATTGGTTGCGATTTTCTTTTGAAAGATTACTTAAAACAAGTCACTTATAGTTTATAACTCTGCAAAATCAGCGAAATCGGATCGGAGGCAGAGATCGATGTTAGCTGCAAATGGTTTTCAATGCATAGGGATCGTGGTGAAAAAGCATGGCTGACTGAACTTACCTCGGTGGAATTTCTTTTATCATTACAAATCAAACTCGGAACGAAGAAAACAGAAATTCTTGAGATAGAATATCGTCTGCTGAAAACCGCAATCTTAAAAATTAATATATGATCATCGTCCTGAAGGTTTTAAGCAAATGGGTCTGTTAACATTGAAAAACTATTCTATGGCACGTGAAAGAGTTTCCTTTAAAAAGAAGGATAAAAACCGGTTTTTGACCAAAATTCTGAACCTACGAGAAAATTTGCCGTTTTATTAAAACATCTTTTTCCCGATTTTCAAAAGAGTCTGCATTGTATCAAAAATATTTCAGTTCTGGGATGAAATAAAATCTATGGGACGAATTTTAAAAAATCAATCTGAACTCTGCTCAATAAAAACTTTCTGTAACTTGCTTTTTGAAAATTTTTTATTTTCTCAAAAACTAAAGTAAAAATCAACTATCGAGGCTCTTGAAACCTGTGAGACCTAGTGTCGCTACCTTTCAAAACGGATCTAAGGCTTCAGGACTCAAGTTAGCATTGATGCCTTGCGATTGCAAACAAGTCTGCAATACAATTTTGGACAGGGTCGTAACTCAACTACAACGCCAGCTCCGGTTTCTTTCTCTCTTGTTCTTTGAGGTAGCAAATATAGATCTTGTCTTCCATGATGCTTAGTTTTGAAAAGACTGGCTTTTGTGTAAACGAGCCGGTATTCTCAAAAACGGAATTTTCTATTGTTTCTCAAGCATACCTGGTCGAATTCAAAACAAAGTCATACGGAAGCTCCTATGCTGTTTTTGCGCTCGACATACAACAGGTTTACCAATGACTGCTCTGAAAAAATAATGGGTACCTTTCGTCGAACAACGACCCATTTTCTTCGTTTGCATTGCTACTTTAACAGTCGCTCTTTCTTTATAACTTTTTAAAAATTTCTAGTTCTGTGACTCAGCCTCATCTAGACATGCAGCAGTTAAAAACTGATATTAGGGCTTCCACGAAAATTGTTATAAGTGGCCTATAAAGCCTCACTCAGAGTTGCGCAGCCTCTCATTTTGTAGAGAAATGTTTGCTCTTGCATGCGATGATATGGCTAGTTGTGGTCTAACAAAAATTGAACAAATCAATGAATTAATTTTGCGGTTTTCACCGTTGAAAAGAGCAGCTCGTGGACATTTACCTATGTAGAAAGTAAATTTTTCCGAAGAGGTTTTTCCGGCAGACCTCGTCCGGTAAAACCCGTGGTATCTCAAAATTAGTTTTGAAATAAAAATATTTGAAACAAAAATATTTTTGTTTTCGATCAGTCTAGTGGCAATAATCTGACACATAACAATGTTTCCATTCAATATCTCTATATTTGCTATTTCTCTGTGAGATGAATAATGATGTCAATTTTTCGTGAAAACAGTAGATTGCTCGACTACGAAGAAACGTAGGGATTAGTATGTAGATATTGAAGCGATGAATTTCAAACTCTATCATTCACCGACTCAGCCACCCAATGAATCTTTGTGATGTAGCGCGTAGAATCTGTTTCTTCGACTATGAACTGAAATTAAGTGGTAAAACTCAGTCAGGGTAAAGAAATAATAAGAAAAATTGGTGATACCCGCTTTTCTCTATCTACCTTGATAGTGTGTGTCCACGAGACATAGAGAAATGGCAGCATAAATATCATGAATTATTGTTTGAAATAGATTTTCGACATCTATTATTGCGATTTAGTGATCACTTTCCTGTTCGTTTTGTAGGCCCATGGATCACAGATTCAACCTATGTTTTCAAAGATATCCGTTGGAATGTTTACAGTTTAGTTCTCAATTTTTTACAACCATATTTTATGCATTTG